TAACTGGGTATGGGCGCATACTTGGTAAATGGACCCCTAACAGTGAATAGTGTATGGATTGACCAACTTATTCCTGGAAGATGACCACAGTGATGGTAAATTGGTGTCAAAAGGGCCTCTGTGCACAAGGTCAAAGAGGATGGATGAGAAGACAAGATTTGGGGAATATAGGATGAAAGAGCAATGCATTTCTGTCGGCGGTCTGGGAGGCCCAGCATCAAGCTGATTCATTCTGAAAACTTAGTATTCAGGCATTGGAGGAAATGAACTTTTGGAAGAATAGAGGTAGAAGGTAAAGGCTGAAGCGATGGCATTTTCCTTTTGGATGCTGTGTGATGCTGTCTGATACACTTTTTCTACTTTGAGGAACCTGGTGGGGAGTCCTCACTCTAACTTTGGAAGAGCATAGGAGTTGACTGTCTGCAAAGGATTAGCCCCATGGAATCATATACTGAAAACACTGAGGAGGAGTGCTGTTAGCATTATGAAGGGAAATGACTTCCCAATTAGAATCTTAGACCCAACTTTGATGTTAATGCTAGCATGAGAATTGATTAAGATACAACCAGGTATGGGCATGTCCAAAATTTTAGCTTTCACCTTTTCTTAGTAAGTGGCTAGAATGTGTATTCCACCATATCCTGAAGGGGTACAAGCATGAGAATGATACAGGCACCAAAGAAAAAGGTAGGGGCTATAGTAGTCTTTACAGACTGTCATAAAAAGGTTGCTCTGTCAATCACTTTATGAAATGATAAAACGTAATTGCTGTTGTAAAAGTAGCCTTGATATAAAGGGATTGACATTCATTTATAAATGTAAACCCATATGATGGTGAGATTATTAAATTAGAACTAAAAAAAAAGTCCTATAGACAGGGTAGCTGAAATGACAGTAGCTTATTTTCTCATTGTTCTGGAGTTTGGAAGAAGGCCCAGCAGGATTAGTGCCTGGCCAAAGCTCCCCTTTCTGAGCAGACTGGATTTAATGACATAGGTGTTGCTGGGTCACTGGCTGGCTGGCTGCCATCTAACATGTCTATGCATTGCCTTTCTTCATGGTGTGTGCATTCCGAAAAAGAACGAAGGCTCTGGTGTTTTATATATGGACACTAACCTACAGGATCAGGGCCCCATCCTTATCACCTAACTTCACCCGAATGACTTTCCAGTTCCAAGTGTAATGAAAGGATGTGTTCTGAGAAGGAAATGCTAGATCATTTCACTATCAGGTAAAGATCACATAATGTACTTACACAGATTGCAATGGACCCTCTTCTGTGTCTCATATCCAACCAAAATCAATAAAGTTTTTCCATATCTGATGTAGTCACCCCTAAAATTTTGTTTGTCCCATTTCCTTTATTGAAGCAAATCATTTAGCAGTTGTGTTCATTTTCCCTCCCTCTTCAAGATATTCATTATACTGAAATGGGGTGTGCCTGGTGGTGAGCCACAACCATTACTGATTTTATAGTCACTTATCACTTTTAATTTTGTCTCCAAGTCAATCACTCTACAAGCTCTCTAACTGGCGATACTAGTAGAGGACTCTGTACACTTTGAGACCACATTAAATAAAACAATACTTTGTAAAATAGAAAGCGATGTAATCTAGAAACATCAAGGGAAGGACACAGGCCAATGCTTATCTAGGGCATATGTGTATATGAAGACACAGCCATATTGGGGTTTAGGCTTAAGCAAATGGATTTGGGTCACAATAAGTTTATATATCATGCACCTAGCTTGCCCAAACGCATATTTCTCTTTGCACATAAAATGCATTAATTGCATTCTAACAGCTCCCAAAGTCTTAACTCATTCTAGCCTCAATTCTCAAACTAAAGATCTTATCCACATTAAGTAGGCTTGAAACTTTAGGTACAATTCATTATGGAGACAAATTTTCTTACTACTGTAAACCAATGAAACCAGACACATTATGTCCTCCCTAAACAGTGTTGTGACAGGCATATGAGGGGATGCTCAAGTTCCAGAAGGGACATATTGAAAGAAGGAAGGAGTGGCAGCTACAGACGGATGCCAAGTTAGGGAAGAATCCAAGTAGGTCTTAAAGGTCAGATTTTCCTTTCTGGTTTGTCTCTTTATGTGCTGGGCTTGCTGGGTGGAGGTGTTACCCAGATTGATTGGCAGGGTGGTCTTGCTCCTAGTTCTTAATGTATTACATGGAGGCAAAACCAAATTGTAAATACTCCATGGTTTGAAAGGGAGGAGGTGGAAATAGTGCTGCCGGGTCTGCTACACACAGTATTGGTGGCTCTGAGGCTCTCTGAACCTCCATTTATTTGGTTGTTCACAATTTTGAAGGACAATGCCTGTTCACATCAGGATAGCTCATTCTGTCTTGTGGAGTCTAGAAATATGACAATATTTTTTCATTCTCTATATTTTGTCTGTCTAATCCCACTCCAGTTGGCCATGGAGCATAATCCAACCTCTCTTCTGGGCTTCTCCTGAGGTGCTTTCTTGATTAAACTTGTGAGTCACATGCCTAGTTGATGGCTATTCTTGGTTGTCAACTTGACTACATCTGGAACTAACTAAAACCCAAGTGTCTGGATACATCTGTGAGGGATTTTTAAAAAAATTAAATCATATGAAGTGGGAAGACCCACTTTTAATCCACGTCTTTGAGGTGGAAGATCCACCTTTAATCTGGGCCATACCTTCTGCTGGCAGTTTATGTAAAGGCTATAACAGACTGAAGCTTGTTCTCTCTCTTTGCCTGCTTGCTTTCACTCTCTCTGAAAAGTCCATCCCTTCACTGGAATTAGACCCACCTCTTCAGAATTTCAGTGTATATTGAAAACCAGCTGAGACATCCACACTTATAGGCTGAACAACTACTGGATTATTGGAACTTCCACTGGTAGACAGCCATTGTTGGGCTAGCTGGACCACAGTCTGTAAACCATTCTAATGGATTCCATATATATACAAATATATTTATATATTATATATAATATATATTTATATATATTTAATATATACATATGTATATATTCATTTTATAAGTCTGTTCTTTAGAGAACCCTGACTAATACACATACCAAAGTACCTACCAAATGGTCACTCAGGTATACAATCTAGTCTTTTCTCAGAATAAATGTCCTTATTCCATGTAGTACAAGTAGGCTGAGAGTTTGCAAAATCAACAAATTCTATATTTTTGTTTTTCTTAATAATTCCTTTGACTTACCTTTCTTCTCACATTTTACTATAAATTGCAAGAATGACTTAGTCTGCTGCTTCAATGCCTCTTTTAGAAATCTCCTTAGCCCTGTGTCTAGTTTCAGTTCTGCCTACTACCAGGCACCAGGAAATGGGCACAGTTCAGCGAAGCTTGTTGACATTTTTCCAATGTTGTTTATTCTCAGCGTTCTTCTTGTGTTTCTCATGTCTATCTGAGACTCACCAGGATGGCCCTTTTCATTCATATTTCTTCCCCATCTGTTAATGATTAATGATATATTCGCTGAGATTACAGAGGTTTCTCTACAGTTCTTACTTTGTTCTTGGGCCTTCAGCAGAGTCCCCAATGTCCACATTTCTATAAACACTCCCTTTAAGGCAATCTGGACTTTGTCTAGCACAGACCTCAAGGTCTTTACAGCTTCTCCTCATGACTCAGTTCCCAAATCATGCTTCTGAGTCTTTGGTAAAGTGGACTCTGATTCTTATTTAAAGGTATTATAACTCTGAGTGGGAGACATTAACAAGATACTAAAGAGTGTGTGATAAATAATAGAAGTCAGTTATGGAGGGGGAATTCTTAGATCAAGGTCCATGAGGAGGCAATTTCTGGTGTAAGTTTTATTTCTGGCTTATAGATAACAGAGTAGTTTAGGAGACATGATTACTTACCCGTAGAAAAAAGTAAAGTTGTTAGAACAAGCATACTCATACTTCATTGTTTAATTGTAACTAGCAATGTATCATATGCAAGCATGCAGATTGAGTTGACCACAGCTTTTGACCTACCTGTACTAAGAGATATGATAAAAGTATACCATGTCAGTGTTTGCCAAAGTTGTATTATGTTAGTGAAATATTGAAGAGTTAGGTCCTCAACATTCATGTACACACACACCACACACACACCACATATATATGTGCGCACACACATATAACTTTGCTGAAAAGAAACGAGCAAATATAAAATAAGTATTATAAGCTGTCTGGCTATTAAAGGCCAAGGCAGGAATCCATCTGAAGTTGACTTTTCTCCTGCCTCCATTATAGTTCTTTTAACCACTTCCTTATAGTGCCTTCCATATTATCCCATTCCTATTTTGTGGTGGTAGTTGTTCTGACAAAATTTCAGTCTATCTCATCTTTCAATTTCTAGTTATTTTTCCAAACAACAAAGTCTATTTTCATAATGACTAGACTATAAAGGCTAACAGACAAGCAGAAATTTGTACACAGTGACAACATTTGAGCTTTGTGGTCGATTCCCTCATAGTCCAGAGTCCCAAATGTAGTACAAAGAATGTTGAGTGGCTATTGTATTTTCTAACAGGCACACACTTCCCTTCATAATGAACATCTCCTTACTTTTCACTTGCATACTGTGCATCCCCAAGGCTGGGTGTGATCAGTAAATTGTAATTGTGCAGTTCAGTCTTGTTTTTCTAAAAGAAATTCAGAGTGAATACATGACGGTTCTTGGCCTCCTTTGTTCATTTAATTTCCTCTGGTTTAGAATGAGTCATCATGGAAAAAGAGTTTGATAAAATCCCTTTTATTAAAAATTGCCTTGAAGGTCAATGTTCATTGAAAACTATCCCTGGCATTGGCCTGGGATGGTTATGTGGGAGTTAAGATTTAGTGCTTAGCCGGGCGGTGGTGGCGCACGCCTTTAATCCCAGCACTCGGGAGGCAGAGCCAGGCGGATCTCTGTGAGTTCGAGGCCAGCCTGGACTACCAAGTGAGTTCCAGGAAAGGCGCAAAGCTACACAGAGAAACCCTGTCTCGAAAAACCAAAAAAAAAAAAAAAAAAAAAAAAAGATTTAGTGCCTAGAACCACTAGGGGTCTCAGATCACCACCTGCTACTCCAGTGTGGGAGGGTGAAACCCAGGCCCTGACAGCCAGGAAGGATCACTTAGCAGCTTGAATGTTCTGGCTTCTGGCAGTGATCTTAATCACATATTTTCTCCACAGTTTCTGGGGGTTGCTGTGACCTGGATAGCAAGGATGGCAGGGTCTAGTTGTAAGGATTCTGTCCTTAATTGCGTCATCAGCCTGCCATGGCATCCCAGCCTAAAAAGCAGGTGGGCCCTCTGTGCGTCCCTCTCTTTCCTTTCAGCTACTTCCTTCCATCTGTCCTCTCTCCCCCCACCCCCAATAAAGCTCTAAAAAGGTAACCATGACTGTGATTCTTCTGATCAGCACTCTCCTCCACCGGCATGCCGTTTAACCAACACTTGTTGTCCCTATTGCTTAATTAAAATGTTTAACTTTTTAAAGTTATTATGAAGGCTCCTGCCTTTTATCTAGCTTTTGGTTAATAGGAAATTTCTATCAAATTACTGTGAACATTTTTCATCAGATTTTTTTTTTTTTGACAAAAATACCACTGAGTTTATTTTGTGTTGGCCAACTACTCCCGAGCATGGAGCTTACCCTTAAGTGTGGTTAATATGCTCACTGAAGCACAGCGGAGAAAACTAAATTTTACTTTGCTTGCAAGTGTCTATTGCAAATAGCTTCTCAATTAGGGGTAGGAGCCAATGTCCATTTCCCCTTCTCAGTACTGGAACCCCACCTGGCTTGAACCTGTGCAAGCCCTGTGCATGTTGCTTCAGTCTCTGTGAATTCAGATATGTATCAATCCTGTTGCACCTTGAAGACACTGTTTTCTTGGAGTCAGCCATCCCCATTTGGCTCCTATAGTCTTTCTGCTTCCTCATCTGCATCGCTGGCTGAGACTTGTGGGGAGGGGTTTGATGAAGATGTCCCACTTAGGACTGAGTACTCCAAAGTCATTCACATTGTCCAGTTACGGGTCTTTGTTTTAGTTCTCATCTACTACAAGAATTAGCTTCTCTGATGATGGCTGAGCAAGACATTGATCAATGAATACAGCAAAATGTTGTTAGCAATCATTTTGTTGCAATGTTCCTTTAGCTTCAGAACAGTAGGCCCATGGCCTATCCAGTCTCAGGTTTTTGGACACTCTAGGAGTGTCAGGAATGAGTCCCAACTCATAAAGATGCCTTAAATCCAATCAGAGAGTAGTTGGTTATTCCCACAATGTTTGTACCACTACTGCTCAGCATAACTTGCATGCAGGTTGTAGGTTGCAGGGTTTGCAGCTGGATTGATGATTACCTTTCTCCTTTGAAAGTGTGCAGAGTATCTCCCTTTCAGTACCATGAATGTTTGTCAGTAGGAGTGAAGCATCCAGCTAGGTACCAGCTTGACTTCTCTGTGTGTAATGAGATATGTAAGTGTTGACTTTAGCAATAGGATCTTCCTATTAGTTTGTGGTGAGCAACCAATACATTGCCTTGGGAATAACCTGTAATGGTGGTGGGCATGCACAGTGGGGCCTTTTTGGCCAATGACTACACAAAATTTAACCCATTCTTGGCACTGGAGGTTTTATGTGGTGTTACAAGATATCTAGTTGGGGCATTCTCTCCCCTATTACTGGTGATTCCTTTCATATATGGATATATTTTAGGAAGCTTCTAGAATAGTTGGTTTTCATATGCCCCCTCAAATGGCCCTTAGTGTTAGTTCCCTCCTCATATTCCCCCCTTATGCCTATCTTCTACCCCATTCCCCATGTAACCCCCCACTCTTGTCTCTCAATAGCAGCATATTATTTTTTAAAATTTTTAATTAGTTTATTTATTTTACATCCTACCTGAAGTTTTCCCTCCCTCCTCTCCTCCCATCCTCCTACCTCCCTGCCACCCCTCTCCATCCACTCCTCATCTGTTTCTGTTCAGACAGGGGCAGGCATCCCATGGGTATCAGTAAAGCATGACATAATAAGTTACAGAAGTACTAACCTCCTCCCCTTGTATTTAGGCTCGGCAAGGCAATTCAATATGAGGAATAGGTTTCCAAAGAGCCAGCTGATGCATTAGCCCCTGCTCCCATTGTTAGGAGTCTCACAAATAGACCAAGCTACACAATTGTCACATATATGTAGAGGGCTTAGATCGGTCCCATGCAGGCTCCCTGGTAATAACAACATATCCCATTTACCTTTCCTTGAGAGATCCTCTCCTCCAGCCAGTCCCTTATTAGGTACCTAACCTCTGTAGTTAAATGGATGATAGCATGCATATTGAAGGTCTGTCATAAGAATTTTAAACTTGCCAGTATGCCTATAATCTGATGAACTATAGGTACTTGAGAACCTCATGCTCTTCAGTTTGCAATTTTCATCTCTATTTCGTCAGTCAGGTAAGAAAGAGAAGACGTACAACACTGGAGGTAGGGGGAAGTGGGTAAGGGATGCCAGTATGTTCACAAGAGGGCAGGGATAGAAGTAGGGAGGGGAGAAGGGATCTATAAAGGGTCCACAAAAAGCCAAGGGATACGTGAAAAGAAAAGTGAGATGGAAAATAGAATGATTGAGAGGTGTGTATGAAGACAAATATTAAAACGAAAACAGAAAAGAAATAATTGAATCCTATGCAGATGGAAAGAATGAGCATCAGAGCCTTTCGTCCTTGAAATATCTTGTCTCTGTCACAGCATCTAATTCATGAATGCTATGGCAAGAATGCTGATTTCACGTGGGTCTGCTTGGATGATCAATTTTTAATTCCCCTAAACTCAATTTTTGTCTCCTGATTCTCACCATAAATGGTTAAATCACTTATGTCTGGTTGTACTAGATAATGTGTATAAGAAAATAATCTTTTGAGAGGATACATGAATGAACACCTATTTACCCAAGATAGGGCAATGATGACAGATCAAAGAAGTGAGTCCATTCTGTGAACTCAGTGAGCCAATGAATCAGGAGCAGAACGGTCCTACACATATGAATTGTGTGGCTTTGTATGCGACTGCAAACAACATTCATGATTCTGTCATTTTCCATATTAATAAGATAGTGTATATACCCATCTCTACTTAACATTGCTCTGTATTAGGGTATACCTAGATGAAAAATTTACTTTCCTCGTTTCCTCTTGAAGGGTATTTGTATTTCTTGTTCTCTGTCTTGGTCTCTCTGCCCCGCCCCCTCATTTTTAACTTAATTACTGTTACTCTTGATATTGATTTGTACGTGTAGCAAACATTATTTTAGAATAAGAACCAGCAGTGGAAGTATAATGTAAAAGCTATATTCACTTTCAGTAGAAGTAACTCCAAATTTTCCACAGGGTAATCAAAATGATGGCAATAATTTACTCTCTTACAAGCATGCTTTCTGCATATTATCTCTAGCATTCAACCAGATTTTCCAAATGTTTTTTAAGTCCATTACGATAAATGTACATATTTTTAAAGTTTGCTTTCTCTGAGTTTGAGTATTTTTTTTCAGGTTTATTAGCTGGTTAGTTTTCTTCTTTTGTTGATTGTCTGTTAGAATTATTTTGTATTATTTTAAATTTTAATTTTTTTGAGAACTTCATGTGTGAGTATTGTATTTACTGGTTTCTTAGTATATAATTTGTAAAATTATTTGCATGTTTTATTTTTTATAGTCATTCATCTTTTCCTTTTGCTTCACAGACATTTTAAGTACTCTTTTACTGTGTTTGTGTATGTATGTATGTATATATGTATGTATGTATGTATGTATGTATGTACTTGAGTGTGTTTGCATGCCAAGATGGATGCACATGTTGGGGTCAGGGACAACTTGGAGAGATCAGTTCTCTCCTTCCATCATGTGTGTCCTGCATCTAGAACACACATCTTCATGCTAGCAGCATGTGCCTTTACCTACTGTGATGTCTCACCAGCCTGGAACATACATTTTAAAATTTAATAGAATAATATTTTCCAGTATTTTATTATGTTTTCTTTTTCTGGATCTTGCTTAAGAAATCTATCTCTAGTTATTCCTTTCATCTCTTTACTATTTGTAGTTTTTTATTTTTTAATGTGTAATACTGTCTTCTTTCTGAAGTCTTTTAAAACACTGTGTACTGTACATTACTACATTTTTTTTCTACTCAGATAAGGAGATAAGGAAACTTCCCTAACATTGTTTCTCAACAGGTCATCCTACTCTTACTGATTTGTAATAATATATATATATATATATATATATATATATATATATATATATATTTTAACTAAGAGATTTTTCTATTTATTTTACATATCAACCACAGATTCCCCTGTCCTCCCTCCTACCACGCCCCAGCCTTTCCCCCCAACCCGCTCCCCATTCCTACCTCCTCCAAGGCTAGGTCTCCCCTGGGGAGTCAGCAGAGCCTGGTACATTCAGTTGAGGAAGGTTCAATCCCCTCCTCCCTGCACCAAGGCTGAGCAAAGTGTCTCAGCATAGGCACTAGGTTCCAAAAAGCCGGCTCATGCACTAATTACTATATCTTTAATGTTTTGAAGGAAATACCTATTATGCTTTAAATAATTTACATTTCTTCCAAAATTTATGCTTCAGAAGAATTTCTCAATGAATTGCATGAAGAGGTGAGGCCTTTAGAAGCTGACTAGGCCACCACAGTAGTCCTTACAGAAGGGCGAGCCTGAACTCTGCCTTTCCATCTTGGCTAGGTGAAGATCTTTCCAGCAGAGAGCCCCTACGAGGCACCAAATCTGCCAGTGCCTTGATTGTGGACTTCACTGCCTCTGAATGCTGAAATATGAATGTCTGTTGTTTATAAATCACTTAGTCTAGAGCATTTTATTACAATAACCCAAGTCAGAAAAGATTATATCTTGCAAGGAAAATTTCATCTTTGTGGGCTTTCTTCATAACTGTCTTACCTAATCCTGGCTCTTTATTCATTATGTGTTTCAGCTGATTAAATTCCAAAAATTACCTCGCTGAATTTTGATCACAGTTTCAATTAATTTAGAGATAAATTGGGGAAAATAATTATGTCATCATTGTATTTAATGTTTTCATTAATTGTATCTCCTTGTATG